TATGCAAAAAACACATCTTCGCACGGGAGCCCGTGTGTTGGCCAGTTTTTTCATTCATGTGGTTTTGTTTGTTCCTACTCGCTCATCTCATTATTGTCTAAAATTGGCACTGCTAGAGACGAGATGGTGATGCTCAACACATACCAAGGATATGTCTTGAAAAACGGCTAAAACCTTGCCAAGTGCCTCTGTCGGAAGAAAAACTGAACCTGTAATTCCTTTAGAAGGTGAAATAAACGTTAGAATTGCCAACAAATTGACCAACAGGCGATGCAGCATTGGTCAAAGCAAATGGAAAAGTTGTCATCTGCAAATTAAAGAGCAAGACTATGATGAAATAGCTGTTGCAAATATTCCAGTTGATAATAATACAAACGGAACCATGATTCTTCACTCATATTATGTGTAATTGCTAAGCCTCCTCATCTTTTTTTGTTTGCAAAATTAGGCCTTTTTCCTACTTCTTACGGTTTCAAAGGCAGCCCTGCAATCCACAGAATGTGTAGTAGTTCCCCTGGTAGGTTTCGGACTTTGATATTTATTTTATTCTATATGTTAAGTAATTTGTAGCGTAAAATTTCAGGTTCGTGGGCTTGCTTCTGATCATTCGGGATTGGCATCCAGTTCAGGTGAGGCGGGACACGGTACCAACAACCAAATTGGCGACGATCGCTTGAACTGTGCAACATCATCTGTTGAAGAATGCGGCACAAATTCGTCAAATTCGGAACAACCAGATGGACAAGCCGTGGTCGCTGATCAGCTTTCACCCAGAAAACTTGTGGAAACGATTGTGGCAAAACTGAGGGCAAACGGGAAAACGTGCATATTGCCGGTGAATGACGAAGCAGCAATGGAAGCAATCGTAGAACCATTCAAACTTCTCATCGATATCGGTTAGCTGCACTGAGACTCATCGAATTTGATAATGGGGATGCTGTGAAAGTACCATTTTTTAGTGGAAAATGCTAAGGAAAATTTACAATAAATCTATTTTTCTTTTAATCTTGTACTAATTTCCTCAAGTCTGGACAAGTTATAATCTACATAGCTTGATTCGCGAACTATACAGCTGGAAATATTTCCAGTTGCTTTGACCAGTGCTGCTTCACCTGTTTGTCAGCGCCCTGACAATCCTAACGTTCATTTCGCTGCCTGTTGTCACATAATGATTTATGGCTTTTTGTTAGAAATTGCATCATTATGATGCAACACCCCTGGTCCTCGATCCAACTTTTAAATACCCAGCGCCGTTGAAGTCTTGCAGTCTTAGTGATCTGTGACCACTGGAGTATAAAAACACCCCTCCCCAACTCCGGCTTCTAGAGTCGCACTTTTTCGCCACACTACCTTGTTATGTATTACCCCCTTTCTTAACTTTACGTTATATTTCCTACAATTATAAAGATGTATACATCTACCACTAGGTGTTTCCGCACTTACACACACTAGTTCATAAATATTAACATTAAGATCGCGATACTGAAAAGAGTACCAGCTCAGTGTTTCTCTTGAAGATTTGCCGGGCTTTAGCCGTTTTGGTATATCCTTAGCGTTTGACTTCAGCATCAACTTTTCGTTTCGAACGCTGCTGCTGCTCCCTAATCAAGATGAGTTGCTTCGGTGACTAGGAGACTTAATGTAAGAGTAATAAAAATTGGGGCGGCTATGAGAGGGGCTGAACAATCGCTCACTTTTGTAACAGTTTTTTACTGACACATATTGTTGGCAGTGTAAATTAGAGCCGAAACGAATTTCGGGATTGCCAGCGAACTGAGGCGATACAGCATTGCTTAAGGGTTAAATAAATAGCAGTGCGCACCAGGGTAGCCGGTGCAATCATGCGTTTTGCGCAGTTCCGTACAGCGAACCGTTTGTCTGCTAAGGATTTTTACTGCTTTGCAAAAATAATATAAATGGCCAACGCACGGGCTGCTCGTGCGAAGATGCGTTTTTTGCATGGTTCCCCGCAGCTTTTGTTGCTACCTGCACCGGTTTTTTCGGCAAATGCTTCTAGCTAAGCAAACTA